AGGAAGGAAGGAAGAAAGAAAGAAAGAAAGAAAGAAAGAAAGAAAAGAAGGGGAAGGAAGGAGGGTGGAAAATGGAGAAAGGAAGGGAGCAAGAGTGTGATAGTGGAGAAGAGCATTGCCTCCTAGTGGGTATTCCAGAAATCTGAGAAGTTTCATTAGTTGTCATGATGGGCATCTCCTGATACTTCGTATGTGAAGACCAGGGACACTAGATGGCCTGCAAAAGACACAACAAACTGGACGAGAAACCTGTTTATAACTTCTAAAATCTAACTGCATTTTACACATAAAAACAGGTGCTTTGGGTTTTGGGGAGGTTTGGGGGCATGATTTCTAAATGCCCTAAATTTCTAAAAAACACAACCATTGTGGTACATTGTTTTGTTTCAGAACTTTCCTAAGATTTATTTGCCGTGTTAGAAAATCACGTCATCAAACTTAACTATGCTGACAGTACTCGAGTCACTCATACAACACACATCGATCAGTCTGCATTGGTAGCTGTCTCATGCATGGTGACTCTACATATGGAATAGAAGCATCTGGTTATTTCTTTAGACTTTTTTTAAGCTTTTTGTCATAGGGCATGTGCATTCACCAGAGAGACAAAGAGAGGCAGAAAGAGAGAAAGTGAGAAATCACCTCCCAGGGGGATTGACCAGGCCACAATTCCTTCTCTTCCATTCTCCTCCTGGAATTTTGAGTATGCATGCATACATGCCCAGCATGACTTTCAAGCCATCAGGTTCAGGATTTGGATTACTGTTGAACATCTGGGAGTCCAGTGCCTTACCACCATGCCACCTGCTAGCCCCTCTTGCTACCTTCTAATGCCTGAGAATACACTATAACACATGGTTCTTTTATTATAAAATGACCCTGTTTTATTTATCCTCTATTTTCTATTAAGAGTGTCATAATGATATTTTGAAAAATAATTTGTGTAGAAAGAATATACTAAGTGTAAATTTTATTTCAGGAAATAAACTGGGAATTATAATATGTCTGTTAATAGGCCTACAGTACAGGTTGAGAATATCCTACTGAATCTGTAGAAAAGCAGAGTCAAGAGAGAAAACAAGGAAAATGCAATCAGCTTTAAAATGGACAAAAGAACTTGGCAGTGTCTCTGCCTCCACAAGAGGGTCACAGTTCCAGTTAAACAGAATAAACTCAAGGGTGGTTAGAATCTCACGATGGTGACAGCCAGACAGGGAAAGTGAGTCACAGGAGGGAGCTGGAAGCCTCTTCTGTCTCCAGGTTGCTCCGTCGAGGAACAGACCCAGGAACCAGCAGTTAGCGTAATGGCTATGTCGCTGGACTCCCACGTAGTCGACTGCGGTTCTCATCCCAGACCCGGTGGCTTAAAACTCACGCCGGGCGCGTGTGCATGCGTGCCCAAGATCCTGAGAGGAGAATAGAGAAGGGATTGCGGCGTGACCATCCCCCCTGGGGGGCGATTTCTCACTTTCTGTCTCTATGTCTCTCTCTGTCTGTCTGGCGAGCGCACACGCCCTATAGTGAAAATCTCTCCAAAAAAAAAAAAAAGAAACAGACCCTATGTTCAAGCTCTTCCATCTGACATTTAAGAGCAACATTTCAGGACCAGATGTGGACTCAGTGTGATTTGGGAAGATCAAACTGAAAATGAATATATAATGAATAAATATGTCTTACCAATTGTTTGGTAGTAAGAAGAAATTACAAGCCCGAGTTGGGAATGGGACAGTCTGCTTTTCTCCACTGAACCGAAAACTCTGAAGTGCTCCTGAGAAAGGTCAGGAGGTGTGGGCATGTGCATCTCTTCAGTCTCCAAGCAAAACTCCACCTTTCCAGAAGTGGATTTTGAATGACTTATTCCTCCTTTATCTCCTAAATTCATGGGAAAAAAATAAATAAATTTAAAGTGAAGAAAGAAGGGATGTGTGTAGGGAGGGAAAGGGTAGAATGCCAGGAAAGAGAAGGAAGGAAATATTTGGCATAAAGCAGAGACTTTATTTGCATTTTGAGGGACAATTTCCTTAAACAGTATCCTGGATCATTTTGGAAGATTCTAGGTGTATGAAAATGGACTCCATCCCTGCGTCATTGCAGAAAGATTACCACGGAGGGGCAGTCAGCCCGCAAGCAAATGTTGAAATGATGCTCTGCATCTCTGGGGATTGGCGGAAGTTATACAGTTGGAGTTTGCCTTTTTTAATAGCTTCCAACAGTAAGATGTTAGTTTACCTCTGGGGCAGAAACCTCCGGGATAGAAGCAACACCTTGTTTGCTCCGGTCTGAGACAGAAAAATATAGGGGGGTGGGGGGAGAGTCTCTTTACAAGATGAGAGAACACACAGGAAAAAAAAAAGAAAAAGAAAAAAGGATTCTTGGGGGAAGTAGTCGAAAGTAGCAGAAAGAGAAACTAAAATAAATTTTGAAGTCTACAGCCCAAGGACTGGGGATAAATTACTGAGAATATTTCAATACTAGGTGAGATTCAGCGTGAGTTGGTGTAAACCATTTTGAGAAACTGTGTTTGCTTTTATTTTCTTCATGCCTTTACCCACTGTTGATGTATGGAGTAGGTGGAAGAAGGTGAACATGGTATAGAGAGCTAACAAGATAACATGAGTCTGCAGACAGGAATGACTGAAAACTGTGGAGACACATCATAGGAAGTGCTTTGGGGCTGGGACAAAAACAACGAATATGTGAACAAATAAAGCTTTGTCAGTGATTAAAAAAAAAAAAGATCCAATTTCTAAAATATCAGTTCATTGGAACTGAAGCATCTTAAATATTTCTAAGTTTAAATCTATTTTAACAACTTTAAAATATAATTATTTACCCTATTATATAGGTTTATTTCCTTTTCTTTTTATTTATAGGGGAGCACATGACCATGTATGAGAGAGAGAGTCAGGGAGAGATGAGCATCCTGCCCAGGGGACTCTGGTCATGCCACAGTTGCCTTCCTCTAGTCCTCCAGCCCACTGAAGTTTGGAAACTTACATGTGTGCCTGGCATGCTTCTGGACGACTGAGCCCAGGATTTAAACCACTGTCACCATGTGGCATCCAGATTCTCTTGAACAGCACATCACCATTGAGCCATGAAACTGGCCTATATTTAAGTTTATTCTTTCTTTCTTCTTTTTTTTAATGTAGAGAGAGGGTTTTGTTTTTTGTTTTTTGTTTTAAGAGAAATTTTTGGTATACAGCATGTGTACTCTCTGGAGAGAGAGAGATACAGAGACACAGAAAGCAAGAAATCATTCTCCCAAGTGGAATGGCCATGCTGCAATCGCTTCTCCTCCACTCTCCTCTGGAGAGTATAAGTATGCACACACACCCAGCATGTGTTTCAAGCCTCCAGGTCTGGGACTTGAACCACTTTGGCCATGTGGGAGTCTAGTAGCATAACCATTATGCCATTTGCTGGTCCCTTAAGTTTATTCTTCTTACTCTAATAAATTTGAACAGTAAGGATAATAAGCAGGATTTTTTTATTTTTTAAATAGGGACCAGCAGATGGTGTAATGGTTATGATGTTGGATTCCCATGGAGTAGACCACGGTTCAAGTCCCAGATTCAGTGGCTTAAAAGTAACACTGGGCATGTGAGTGTGCATGCCTAAAAACCCTAGACGAAAATGGAGAAGGGATTGAGGCATGGCCATCCCACCTGGGGCTGAATGCTCACTGTCTGTCTCTGTCTCTCTGGCGAGTACACATGCCCTATAACAAAAATTTCCCTCAAAAAAATGTTTTTAAAAAACCTCAATATATTGGGTTGTCTGGAAAGTTCTGATGCATTTTTCCACAGAAAAAAGTAATGACTTTCCCAACAATCAAACAGAGAATTCAGACTTTTTTCCAGCCTAAATTTGAACAAACATTTCTTTTCTGTGGTTACCACTTAACCTCTCAAAGCCCTGCTCTGATTGAGTTTGCAGACTGATAGATATTGAGAAGGGAGAAAACAAGTACATGTAATATAACCAGCAATAATGCCATCGACTACATGAGTCCAGTGACATGGCCATTATACTAACTGCTGGTCCCAGCTAAAAGAAATCTCTAAGATCAAAATCTGGATATTAATAAGAAATCTTGTTGATGTTTATTTTTAAAGGCATTCATTTCTTTGACACTGATAAAGTAATGTTTTGGTATAAAGTCCTAGTTAACTCAGTATGACTCAATGCATCCTCTTAAAAAAGTTAAACAAGATCATAGCACTATATCTGCAGAGAAAACTCCAAGGATTGGTACCAGCAGTTGGTGTAATGGCTATGTCACTGGATTCCTATGTAGTCCATCATGGTTCGAGTCCCAGACTCTGTGGCTTAAACTCACGCCAGGCGTGTGTGTATGCGTGCCCAAGATCCCAAGAGGAGAATGGAGGAGAAGGGATTGGCCGTGACCATCCCCCCTGGGAGGTGATTTCTCGCTTTCTGTTTCCCTGTCTCTCTCTGTTTTTCTGGCAAGCACATGCACCGTATAGCAAAAACCTTTCCAAAAGAAAAAGAAAACTGCAAAGATGTAAATGTACAGAATTTTTTTTTAAATGGGTGTTCTTATTGCATCTACCATACTCATGGGCGTTTGCTGGTTTCATATAAAGCATACAAGCAGGTGAGTGAGGAAGTGCTGAATAAAGCATAAGAGGGAGAGAATGAGATCCCGCAGAAAAGAACGTGGAAGGTAGTGGGGGTGGAACATGGTACATCTGCAAGGTAGTAACCCCGCATAAATAAGGGTTAATGGGGTGCCAGCTGTGGCCTGGTGGTTGCTGGGGCTGGATTCCAAATAGCTGCTCATGTAATCTGAGTCCTGGTTGGAGCAACTTGAAAAATACACCAGGTACGTATGCGTGTGAGCCCAAAGTTCCAAAAGGAGGGAGAGATGAAGGAGAAGGAATTGTGGCATGATCATTTTCTGTGGGGGGTGCTTTCTCCCTCCCTCCCACTCTCTCTCTCTCTCTCTCTCTCTCTCTCTCTCTCTCTGGCAAGCATATGCACCTTCTTGCAGTTTCTTTAAATTAAATAAATCAATAAAGATTATGGGGTACAAAGAAAATACTTTACCTTGTGTCTGTGCAAGAAATAACAAGAGTAACTTTCTACTGTGTCGGATTGACCTGTTATGATATTTGGATTTCTCCAGTGTCTCTCTAAAACATCTCAAAGTATCTGTCACGTCCACAGGTACGCAAACAAGTTCTTTGGCACGATTGTATTCTAGATGAGAAGGGAAGAGGGATGTTGAGGATGAAATACCGTACCAAGTCAACCAGTAGCAAATGAGTTTCTATTCCAATTCAGAGAATCTCTTGGTCCCAACCTGAAGCTGCTAAATTCAAAGCCCCCAGATCTGCAGCAGGTGTTTCAACATTCGGATCAATTTTTTTTTCCAGTATATTTGAAAGTTCTTTAAAAAAAAAAAAAAAACTCAGAAAACATTTGATTCTTATGAAATGCAAATAACTTCAGATCTTGCCAATTTTCCTTATGAAGCTGCCTACTTTTTCTTTTGCCGATCATAAAAAATGAAATAATCTTCTTTTCAGCAGCCTCTTCAAAGCAATGGTGCCTTGGGAAAGAGAGGAAAGGCGGAAACAAAGAAGCTGGGAGATGGGCAACTGCTCTCTAGAGGGAAGCAAAAGACAAGCCTCTAATACTGGGGGGTGCAGAGGCGTGAAGTGGGGCATGGAAGAAGGCAGCAAGACTGGGCATTGAGAGAGCATGGGACCAACCAACTGCCCTGAAAAGTGTCCAGAAAGGGGAGACGGTAGGAGAGAGTGGCTGCAAGGTCTCTAGAGTGAGTTAGGTTCCCGGGAATTAGGCTGCAGGTTCACAAAGTCCACCATGAAGCAGGCTCAAGAGAGAAGAATCACATGCTTCAGGACTGAATAACAGAAGAATTTACTTCTTCAACAGGATGAACAAGTGGAACACTCGCTCCCTTATAAAATCTTGGTAGTATAACAACATTCTAGGTAATGGTGCTGTAAGAGGTTGAGAAGCGTGACCTCTGCCCTTAGGAAGTGCAGACCAGCTGAGGAGACAGGACATTCCAACACTGGAATATTAAAATCATATTTGCAGGGAGTATCCAGATACAAGATAAAAGGAAAGAAAGATGGAAAAGAGAGATTAGTGCAGGAGGAAAGATGAGCAAGAAAGGCTCTGTGGGAGAGAAGACATGCTAGAAGTGTCTTAGCAGAGAGAATCTGACTAGGAAGAAAGAAGCAAGGGGTTTAGAAAGAATAAGAATAGGAAGAGCTGAAGTTCATCGAGCACTTACACTATGCCAGGAACTATTCTAAATAACTTAGTGTGGTAGTCTCCCCGACGCCTAAAAACAACCACAAGTGGTACTGATCATTCTTACCCTCATTGACATAGTCTGGGAGCTTCAGAATTAGGGACTAGAGAGTTCTTGGAGCCTCTTTTATAAGGGTGCTAATCCCACTAGTGAGGGCTCCACCTTCATGACCTAAATCACCTTCCAAAGACCCTCACCTTATAAAACCATCACACTAAACATTAGAATTTCAACATAGGAATTTTGAGGGACCACCAACATTTGGCCTAGAACAGCAAACAAAGGAAAAAGAGGAATGATAGAAGCTCTTACACTTTGATATAAGACAGTTACTTTCTCTAGGCCTTAATTTTAAATAGTTCTTAAAATTGGGTTGTAATACTTACCTCAGAGTGCTATGATTTTAACTTATGCATGAAGCCATCTAGCTTAGGGCCTGCATGGAGTAACAATTCAATAGGTGAAGTATCGAATACTGAGCTCTCACAATTACTGGGTGCCATGCCAGGCACCAAGGAGATATGAGGGAACAAGACAGACATAGTTTCTGCTCTCACAAAGCTAACATTCCAGAAGAAAATCTGCAAATTTTTACTTACAATAAAGTCAGAATACCATGATCAGCTGATAAATAATTCCTGTGTTTTTCCTAAACTATATTTCACTTTTTTTGTGTCTTTTTTCAAGCTCCAGCATACCTTTCTGCTTGTTGTCTAATTAGGGTCCTGTTGGCATTGTTGTGGCTGTCTACATGAGATAAATGATGCAAAGCAATGAGGAAATATCATTTGCTTCAGAGGCCTAATCCTGACAGCTCAGTCTCACGGGAGTTCCTCCCTAAAAACTTCCATGGATAATTCAAGAACCTATTCCAAGGGCATTAATAGCCTCTACAGTTTGAAACAGGTAAGGAGGAGGAGAGGAAGAAGGAAAAAAAGAAAAAAAAATTACTGTGCTTTTCAATGTACAAATGTGCAAGCGCAAGCTGAAACGTGAATGACTCCTGAGAGAGAGGTCTACCAGGGAAAAATCCCTGGGAGTGATTTGAAATTCGGGCTGCTTCCTACACATTGGTCATATCACGCCAAATGCCCAGAGGCATTAACAAAACACACCTGTCAAAGGGCTGAGAATTCCAGCACACCTGAGGACTGAATAAACCCATCAGAGAACTTAAATACCAATGAGGTCAAAACTCAAAAAAAAAAAAAAAAAAAAAAA